CTGTGCTGAAAACATGAAAGTATGCAAACCTTCGTACAAGCAGAGAAGAACATAACCTTTGTATATTTTGTCTTTGCCTCATTTGAATCATACTCTAGCCAACCCTCTTCTTTCCAATATTACGAGTAGTCTTTCATGAAAACTAAAAAAAAAATAATTTTTTTTTTGTTTTTTCTGTTGGTGTCTCTTTCTGTGCTTTGCATTGGTAACTTGCAAGAAGCAAGCTGCTGGGGTAGAAGTTCTTCAAAAACCTGTTTATTAGCAAGCCTGTCAGGGCACCTCACTAGTGAAACCAAGGGCAGCACTTAGGACCAGCGCACTGAGAGCGCACCCATTTCTGTCTGCCAGGCTCATCTTCCTTTCAAACTGTTCTGGCAGTTTCCCTTCATCCCTCAAAGGACACTGCCGACAGCCCTGGTGAGTCTCCCCCGAGCGCCAAGAACTGCTCTGCTCCTCTACTGAGCAACTGGGGCTCAGAGCACTCTCTGCGGCTATTGGCCCACCACTGTCCTCGGGGTTTATCTCAACTCTACCCCCGGTTTTGTCACTGTATCCTTCAATCCCCTCGCTCCCCATAAAAGTGTCTAGCTGTCTCTTAAACTCACTTTACCATTTGCTTCTTTGACCTCACTTGGCAACTTATCCTTGTGTTTATTATTTGAGGTGGAATAGTTCTGGCTACATTCCTGGTTTTACTCTTAATTGTCTAATTTTTAGAATGGTGTCAGTGGGGTTGGGATTTCGGTTTGGCCTTTTTTTAACTCATCGCTCTTGTGACCAGGTCTTCTGTTTCATTAGGCTCCTTCGTGTCATCAGGACTTCCAATAACTAAAAGAATCCTAATGAATTTTTTATTGGATCTTCCCAAATATTGCAGCTGGGCTTTCTTGTCCATTAGTGCCGTTCTGAACTGCACATACTGCCTCTAATTACTTTTTTGTTAATTGGAGGGGAGGGAGGGGGGAGGAGGATTTTCCCCAAGCAAGGAAGAGTTTCCCAGCTGAAAAGCTGAGCGATTCTCCCTCCACATACTTGCCGCAGGGGGAAGGTACAAGCAGGACCGGGCAGTAGAACTCCTTCATGTCCTCTGGCAGCATACCTCTGCCTGCTGGTTGCCTTCGTGTACCCACCTCCAGGTCCAGGTCCACCTGCCAGGTCCAGGCAGCTCTGAGCTGGGGGGCTGCAAGCACCTTCTCGGAGCCCCTCGATCCACTCCAGAGCCTTGTCAGGCCTTTGGACAAGGTGCTGGGAGCAGTTTGCTTACCGCATTGGATTTGCTGTCAGGTCACACTGATGACAGGAAAAGACTGCAGGGTTTTCCCAGTGCCTGTCTGGGGAGAGGGATGGAGGAAGAAACACTGGTTTAAGACACCTACCTGCGTCTTCAGGAACTGTTCCCAGTTGCTGTAAGGTTGGTTGGTGGAGCAGTGAAATGAATCCTACTGACAGCCTGAAACAGATAGGCCTGGTTGGAGAGGCTTCTAAAATGAACAACTCGCCTAACCCACCACAGAAAGCGAAGCAAAGATCTACTTTTTTGCAAGTCCCCCCTTCCCTTAGAGGAATCAGCACCTGTCCGAAGGAGGGACTGCCTTCAGGTTGATTGCCGAATTGCAGCAAGATAACGCCTTTGTACCTCCTGTTTGGTCAGCGCAGTCTCCACCATTAAAGAATATGACGCGCATCCGAAGCAGATCATGTGGTTACAGTTCAGGCACATTAGCGTTCGTGTTTTCCTAAAGTAGAAGGGACACTTTGCTGGATTCACCTACCTTGAAAAAAGTGGTGCAGGTGAACCCTTGAATCCCACCTGAGAGCATCAGAGAGAGAAGAGATCACGTTCCCTTTCCTACCCAACACATCTTGCGCCTCATGAAGTGACAAGAAGAAGTGTTAACTCTATAATTAACATTCTCCATGCCGGGGGGCTATGGAAGCTACGGGACAGGAATAGTGTGCCAATCGCAGCAAGACATTAACCATCAGCCAAAATAGCATCCATCACTATTTTCAGTTTAAGAACAGAGGGCAGAGGCATAGAAGATTTGCTCAATTAATCGTGGGATTGAAAATTTTCCAGAGAGCTAAGGACACTTGTAAGATATAATAGAGTGCAGCCCCCTCATCTTTCACATGGAGGTCAAGCTCACAGAGACTCAGCCTGCCGAGCAGTTTCTGCTTGCTGCGAAATGAGGAATTGCATGCTGCAAGAACCAGTGTCTGGGGGCTGCTTCTGAGAAATTCATGCAGTAAAGCACTTCAGTAAAGGTGGCTTACCTTGCTGACAGAATCCTGAAAACAGGGAAAAGAAAGGGAGAGACATAAAATGCCTCTCATGACAAAGACTGTAAAAAAACTAGGGATAAAACCAAAAAATAATCTTGTAAACATTTACCATTGTCTTCACTGTACTCGGCGGGCTGGGGGACGTAATGATCATCAGCCATCAGAGTAGCAATAAGTACTTCCATTGAAAAAGTGGCGACAGTAAAAACAAAAGGACATGCTCTGCCACTCATCAACCCACGCTTCATTTTTTGTAGCCATCTACCATCATGATTCGGCATGCGATTCACTAAGCAGCAAAACCACGGCTGTAGTTATTTACAGGTCACTGGAAGTCTGGCCTGCGCTGCAGCGGAGTTTTGGTTGTATTTCACAGAAGATAGTTTTATTTATGTTTGACTAAGGCAGGCACAACTGGAGGCTGATTTTTCTTTTTTTGGCTTTTAGTATAAACACTCGTGGCAGCTCTCTATTTTGGGTGCAGACTGAAAACCAGATTGTTTTGTAGTTGCAGAAAACTGCTGGGTAAATCAGAGGACATTGTTATTGCGACCGAACTTTTCTCTCGAGAAAGCAGGAGGAGTTGCTTTATTTTTTAATTCTGTGCAGTTTTATGTACACCATTCGCTCCAAATATTTGATGTTTGCCACACTTGTTATGAGTTTCTCCAGAGAGATGCTGTCTTTTGGCAGCAAAAGATAAAGTTGACTGATACAAATGAGTCACAGTACCCCAACAGTAATTAACAGTGATGCAATACCCATGCGAAAAAGAGGACTTGAAGAATTAACTGTTGAGTTTTCTTGACGATGCAGCTGCACTTTAAGAGAGAAAGCTCAACCCATCATAGAACTCCATTGTGTACATTAGAGAAAAAAGCTTGGCAAGATACATTAAAGATTTTTGCTAAAGAGATACAAATATTTTGCAAGGTCAAAGGGCACTGAGGCAGGCTCTACTTACTTCCAAAGAAAAGTAGGCAGTATGACAAAGAAACAGTAATATTTTTTTATCTTCATTTTCA